TGGACTGACTATTCTCGGGGGGGGAAAGGGGTGTAGGGGGTGCGGGAAGAGACTAGGCAAAAATCATACACCTATCGATGAGGACAGTGGGGGAGGGGAGGTGAGGTCGGAGAGGGGGGTAGAAACCGGGTGGAGGGGAGCTATGGGAGGAAAAAAGAGAAACAATTGTAATAATCTGAACAATAAAGATTTAATTAAAAAAAGAAATACAAATTTCCAGTTATAAAAGAAGTCACAGGGATGTGATGTGCAGTATAGGGAACAGAATTTTTTAGAAATTTACAATATCCTGGCCCATCTAGCCACGGGGTCATAATATTATTGTAATACCTATGTACAGTGACAGATAGTTACGAGATTTACTGCAGTGATCACTTTGTAAGGTATATAAATGCTGAATCACTATGTTGTAGAGCCGAAACTAATATAATCTGTGTGTAAACGACTAGTATAATTAAGAAGAAATGTTTAATTGGAAAAAAGTGTACTCAACCTTAAAGCGTAGTGTTATAATTCTAAATTATTATCACAATGGAAATAAACTTTAATAGCCTCACCCCCCGATCCCCCCAAAAATAAATAAGTGCAACAACAAAGTGATATTTCTCTTTCTCTAAAGAAAACCCCAAAACCAAAAATCTGCCCAGGCCCATGTGTCTTATTGGTTGGGCGTCACCCGTCTGTGCCCTGAAAGGTCGCTGGTTCAATTCCCGGTCGGGATACATGCCCGGGTTGTTGGCTTCATTCCTGTTAGGGGGCGTGCAGGAGGCAGCCAATCGATGTTTCAAACTCACATCAATGTTTCACCTCTCCCCTCCCTTCCTCTCTCTAAAATATTTTTTTAAAAACCTAGAAATTAAATTTATTGAGGTAAATACCTAGGAATCATGGCTGGGCTATATGTAAGAGAAAGAGATAGAGAAACACGTATTGGCTGCCTCCCAGACGTGGCCCCGCCCGGGAACCAAGCTGCCACCGTCGGGTTTATGGGTGGACTCTCCAACCAACTGAGCCACACTGGCCAGGGCTGAAGTTTTAGCCAGTTTCCTAGGTATGTAGTGATGCCTCACTGTGGCTCCATTTTGCATTTTTTAACTGATTTGAGAGAGAGAGAGAGAGAAACAGAAACACCAATGATGAGAGAGAATCATTGATCAGCTGCCTCCTGCATGCCCCCCACTGGGGAGCGAGCCCATAACTCAGGCATGTGACCATTACTCTTTAGTGGCGCTGAACAGCTTCTCACGTGCTCGTCTGCCATTCATAGCTCTCTGAAGTGACTGGTAACATCCTCAGCTTTTAGAATGAGTTTTACTGTTTTTTGTTTGTTTGAAAGAATTTGTTCTGTCGGGGTCAGGGTGCATGTGGGAGGCGACGGATCTGTTTCTCTCTCACATTGATGTTTTTCTCCCTCTCCCTCTTCTTTCCTCTCTCTCTAAAAATTATGTTTTTACGGATTTTTTACAGAGAGAGGAAAGGAGAGGGATAGAGAGATAGAAATATCGATGAGAGAGAAGCATCATTGATTGGCTGCCACCTATTGAGGACTGAGCCTGCAACCTGGGCATGTGCCCTGACTGGGAATCACACCAGTCACCTCCTGGTTCATGGGTTGATGCTCAACCACTGAGCCACACCAGCTGGGCTCAATAAAAGCATATTTTTTTAAATGGCTAAATCTTTTTTAAAAAATATATATTTTTTATTTCGAGGAAGGGAGATGGGGAGAGAGATAGAAACATCAATGATGAGAGAGCATCATCGATCGGCTGCCTCCTGCACATCCCCCACTGCGGATGGAACCCACAACCCGGGCATGTGCCCAGACTAGGAATCAAACCGTGACCTCCTGGTTCATAGGTCGACGTTCAACCACTGAGCCACGCTGGCCAGGTAAAATGGCTAAATTTTTAAGTAAAAATTGCTATCTAAAATGTTGGTGAGGAGGTAGAGAAACTGCAACACATACTGCTGGTGGGATAGCGAAATGGTACACTTTGAAAACCTGTTTGGCAGTTCCTTGTGAAATTAAGCATGCACTTATTGCACCATCTAGCAATCTGATTTCTAGGTATTTACCCAAGAGCCATAAAAACGTGTTCACACAAAGGCATGTATGCAAACTACTTACTCCATAGCTAAACCCTAGAAAAGCCCAGCTTCCTAGCCACTGGTACATGCAGGAACAGACATGGTGTGCACGTAAGACACCGCTACTCAGCAACAAAAAGGAATGTATTGATAGATGCAATCAGGATGCATCTTAAAAGCAATGAAAGAAGCCAGACATCAAACACTACACCAAGCATGTCAAACTCGTGGCCCATGGGCCGTATGTAAGAAACGTTTAAATAAAAATTTCATAACTTAATTTTTACAATATCCTGTTATACATCATCTACATATATAAAAGGCTGATATGCAAAGCGTCCCCTCGGGAGTTTGACTGGGAGACAGGGAGTTTGATCGCTCACTGTGATGTGCGCTGACCACCAAGGAGGGGGTGGCACGGAATGAAGGAAGGCCCTGGCTGGCAGCCGGCAAGGCCTAGTGCCGGGAGCCGGTCCATCCTTGCTGTTTCAAGGGACCTGGCATATATGGCATACTGTTCTTAATATGTCTGCTCACCTTCTTGGCACTATGTGTTTTAACCAAGGTCACCTCTCCGAGAAAGGTTGTTTCCCCAGGTAGAGTGGCTACAGAACCTGGCTGGAGAACCTGGAGGACCTGGCTGGAGAACCTAGCAAGAGAACATGGACACAGAACTTGGCTGGAGATTGTGGCTAGAGATCCTGGCAAGGCTGCTGATCAACTGAACGCTGTCTCCGTGTCATTCCTTCTTCGCCGACTCCGTCCACACCTGTGGGGACCCCTGGACCTGCTGGGGTTGGACCCCAGCAGCCTAGGAGCCCTACCCATGCACAAATCCTGTGCACCGGGCCTCTAGCTACTAATAACGAACTACAATGTTCGCTAATGACTGATGACTATGATCGCGTTGCATTCATTTCCCTCACGTGCCTTACATGCAGGTGCACCATTTCTCTCCACTAATACTACCAGGGAATATTTTAGCAGCCAATTGCCGTCAATAGTCTTGGACTGACTTGTTTGGTTTGCGCAACAGGAAATATTTTGCTTTTGGAGAACAAGAAAAATAGGTTTATTTGCGTCACACTTATTAATTCATGCAGTTCTTTAATGTCTGGTGAGTTAATGTTCAAGAAAAAATATTAATTTTTAATAAAATGTTATTTTATGTTAACTATGACTCATTTATTTCAGCCCTTTCTATTCAGCATGTCTACCGAAATAAACCTACGTTTCTATGAAAAGTGAAGCTTTTGGCCCTGACTGGTTTGGCTCAGTGGCTAGAGTGCTGGCCTTGGGACTGAAGGGTCCCAGGTTCGATTCCAGTCAAGGGCATGTACCTTGGTGGCGGGCACATCCCCAGTGGGGGCTGGGCAGGAGGCAGCTGATGGATGTTTCTCTCTCATCGATTCCAGTCAAGGGCATGTACCTTGGTGGCGGGCACATCCCCAGTGGGGGCTGTGCAGGAGGCAGCTGATGGATGTTTCTCTCTCATCGATATTTCTAACTCTACCTCTCCCTTCCTCTCTGTAAAAAAATCAATAAAATATATATATTTTTAAAAAGTGAAGCTTTTGTGTTTTTGTGGCCCTCAGACACTTCCACCTTGTTTATTTGGCCCGTGTTAGCTTTGAGTTTGACACACTTGCACTACACAGTATGACTGCATTTGCGCCCTTTGAAGAAAACGGAAAGGACAGAAAGCGTAGTGGTTGCCAAGCACTTGGAGTGGGGGGAGGGGAAGAGGAGGGAGAAGCCCTTCGGGGAGATGAACATCTGTCCTGATCGGGATGATGCAACTGTATGTATTTGTCAAACTTCACCAAAACGCAGGCCTGAGAAGTCACAGTTTGCTATCTGTATTCTGTACCCCTACTAAAGCCACACTTTAAAAACCCTCAAAGACTGGAGCACAGACAGACCCGAGAGCATTATGCTGAGTGAAATAAGCCAGTCAGAGAGAGACAAATACCATATGACTTCACCCTAATGGAATCTAATGAACTAACGAGCAAAATAGAGACAGACTCATGGCTAGAGTGCAGGCTGACAGCTGTCTGGGTGGGGGAGCTGAGTGAGAGGAAGGAGGGATTGAGAGAAAAAAAAAAAAGAAAGAAAGAACTCATGGACATGGAAAACAGTGCGGGGAGTGCTGGGGGAGGGGCCGTGCACAGATGACGTGTAGTGGAACTGGGCACCTGAAACCGGTATCATTTTGTTAACCACCCCAATAAATCCAATAAAAGTTAAAAAAAAATAAAAACTACCAAATAAAAAAGAAAATCAGCCCTAACCGGTTTGGCTCAGGGATAGAGCATCGGCCTGCGGACTGAAGGATCCCGGGTTCGATTCCGGTCAAGGGCATGTGCCTTGGTTGCAGGCACATCCTTAGTAAGGGGTGTGCAGGAGGCAGCTGATCATGTTTCTCTTTCATCGATGTTTCTGGCTCTCTATCCCTTCCCCTTCCTCTCTTTGAAAAATTAATAAAATATATTTTAAAAAAGAAAAGAAAATCATGGTTACAACCCACTCTGTTGACTTTATGGGTGACTAACAATTTGAAACACTAATCTGAGGTAGGCCCTATGCCCATTATACGGATGAGAAAATTGAGGTACAGAGGCCAAGGTAGTCGCTGGTTATCACAGCTTGGGCCCCAGGTGTGGCTCACTCCAGAACCTTTGTTCCGACCCGCTCCACACCGCCCTCTGTCTGCCCTCCCACCGGGCCCCCTCACCTGCAGGCTGTGGCTCTGGGCCTGGGCGCGGGCCCCCCAGGAAAACCACTCCGTGCCTCTCCAGCCTCAAGGACAGGGTGGGCTCCCGGCGCTCCAGGGCGGCTGCCAGCGCCAACAGAAGGGCTGCCCGGGCCCCCGGGGACTGGCCCATCCAGCTGTGGGCGGACAGTGAACATGGGGGGCTGGTCTCCTGGCCCTGGCTCTTCCCAGGTGCCCCTCCTCTGTCCACGGCCCTTACCCTGGGGGTCCAGGCCCGATAGCTCAGCCGCCCCAGGAAGAGAGGGGCCAACCACACCCCTATTCTGTCACCTTGGGAGCTAACGCCACAGCCCCTCAGCCCTGGGGGTCCCTCTCTGAGGCCTCACAGGGCCTAGGTGTTGCCGAGACCCCACTTACCCAGGGGCAGCCTGGTGGGCAGCCTCCACAGCCACTCGGATGTCCTTGGCTCCGCCCTCGGCCACGTAGCCATGGAGATTGCCCTGCGAGTCGTGGATGGGCCTGGAGCTGCGGGCCCCAGGCGCCTGGAAACGGCCCCCCACGAAGAGCCCGTAGGGGGGTGCTGGGCTGCAGTAGGGTGAGATGTGAGGGTGGGTCTGGGGGCCCAGGTGTGCTCAGGGCCCCTGCACCAGCCCCCGAATGGACCCCTCCAGCTCCCATGAGCTTCTGGGTAACCCCCAATTCTTGGCCCCACAAGACTCTGGGGGACCCGAAACCTCCGTTCAGAAGGACTGAGGCTCTCCTCAGGCCTGGACGGTGGGTGTGAGGCCCTAAGACTTAGAATGCAGATCTGGGTGGGGCCTGGGACCCCTCCAGGGCTCTAGCTCACCCGCTTCAGTCCAAGGGGAGCCTGCCCCTCCTCCCCCACAGGATTCTGGGAATCGTGGGCCCCAGGACAGCTCACCTGGGACCTGTTTCAGGCCCAGCCGGGAGGGCTGAGGGGACGGTAAGGCCAAAGGTGTCATAGTTCAGATTCTCAGAAAGGTAGGGCAGCCGGACAGGGGTCCCCGCGGGCCGCAGGTACTCATACAGGCCCTGCGAGAGGGACAGTGTTGGGAGGGTGCAAGGCGGGCACAGGGCTGAGAGAGGGTGGCGATGGTGGCGGGCGGGAGGGGACACTCACATCTAGGCCCCCGTGCCAGGAAGACCCACTCTCCTTGCAGCCGCCCATGGGCACCGCAGGGTCTCTGAGGCCGTGGGCGTTGATCCAGACTGTGCCCACCCGCAGCCTGTGGGGAGACGGGGCATCAGAGAAAAGCAGGGAGTTGGAGAGTCAGAGACAGAGGCGTGGAGACGGAAGCGCAGGCCCTCCCCTCAGGCCGCAGCCTGTGCCCGGTGGGTGCCACTGACCCGTAGCCCAGCTCCAGGGCCTGCCCCAGCCTCTCGCTCCACACACTGGCACTGCCTCCTCGGGGCGTCCCGTTGGCCACGGCCAGTGCCTCCTTGGCCGTGCGGAATGGGGAGGCCACGACCAGAGGCCACGGTACCTGGATGGTGACAGTGAGTTCAAGCAGCCTGCCACCCCCGCCCCCCTATGCCCGCCCCCACTGGGGGACCAGCGTCCAGGAGTCAGCAGCCCAGACCCAGGCCAAGGGGCCACCAGGGCCTCTGCTGTGGCCCATGTCTGGGGGCAGATGGGTGGGTGGAGTAGGATCTCTTGGACACGAAGGGGCTCACCTCTGCCTGGGCACACGGGGAGGAGGGGGGCAGGTCAGAGACCAAGGTTGGGGGGAAGAACGGGCTGTCTAGGGGCACATCGCCAGCCTGGAACACCTGGGAGAACGAAACACATCTACTAGTACAAGTCCCTCCCCCGCCGGAACCCAGAAGCCCAGGCCCCCAGCACCTCCTCCCTCAGGCCCAGGCCCTCCTCCCCCGGCACCCTGCAGCCTGCACCCCGGCTCACCTGTGCGCCCTGGCTCTGGGCCTCGCGCACATACCGCTGGGCCAGCTCACGTGCAGCAGCCCCCCGGGCCCCCAGGTCCCCGGCCCCGTCGAGCCCTCGGCCTCCTCGGAGCCGCGCCATCCGCACCTGGAGCCGCCTCATCGCCTCGTCCCACACCGACTCCTGAACGAGAAGCCTGAGGCCCCCCTGTTAGGGCAAGAGATGTCAGGGGCCATGTGGGGGGACAGGCCCCCACGGAGGGCTGAGACTCGGGGACACACATGCAGAAATCCAAGGAGGGTCAGGGAGAGGTGGCCAAGGACCCTGGAGACTCTCCGAGGCCCCGGACCCCAGGCGGAAGGTGGAGTTCCGGAAAGCTGGTCATTTCGGAGTAAAGACAGAGGTTGGGAAACCAGGGGCACGAACACTCAGAACAGTGAGGGGCCCTAGGGAGCAAGAGACAGGCCGGGCCCTGAAAGACCAGGAGAGCCGGGCAGGGAGATCCGGAAATTGGAGGTGATGAGTCCCACACGTGATGGTGTGAAGACACCAAGGACTGAAAACTGAACAGAGACACGGGGCCCCAAGGTCTGCAGACAGACAGGCATGGCCCGCAGGACATCAGGGGACACCAGCGCGAGGGTCTCACCGGGCTGCGGTCCGACCAGGCTGCGTCCACAACGCCCTCCACGGCCGAGTCCACATCTGCTGCCTCCGTCAGCAGCAGCAGCGATTCGGTCCCCAGCGCCAGGCCCAGCTCGGGACCCACGCCCGCCAGGGTCCGCCGAAGGACACGTCCTTCCTGGGGGAACCCCACACCCCACGGGGTTCAGAAGGGGGAAAACCTTCTGGACCCCAGCCCTGCCCTGTCGCCCTCCTCGCCCTGAAGGTACCTCGATGGCTCCGCAGAAGGCCACCTTCTGGACCCCGGGCTGGGAGGCCAGGACAGGCCCCAGGGAGGCAGGGCCACTGATCACGTTGAGGATTCCTGGGAAGTGGCCCAGTTCTCCTGCCAGCTGGGCCAGGAGGAGGGGCGTCGGGGAGGCCGAGGGCACGAGGACCACCACAGTGCAGCCTGGGGAAGGCGGGCAACTCAAAGACTCAAGAGTCCAGGCCCCGGCCCCTCCTCCCTCAGACCCAGGGGTCGAGGCCCCCAGCCCCTCCTCCCTCAGACCCAGGAGTCCAGGCCCCC